GTGTGACAGACAGAGAGAGAGAGAGAGTGTGTTGTATGCAGATGCAGAATTGTGGAAATATGTGTTGCCTTTTGGTTCCTCAAAAAAGGCTAGTGTCTGTGTGATAGAAGTATAAAGTGTGTAGGAAAGCTTTGTGCTGTGGAGAATACTGATGAGTCTGAGCTCTCTGACAGCAGCAGGTGTTTGTGTTGTGCTTTGTTTTGTAAGAAAGAGCCTCAGGCGAGACGTCTGGACAGGTCTGAACCTGGAGCTACAGCACCTTCATTTCACTGTCATCTATTGTGATTCCCATTGAAGGATTTTCTTGTGTCTGGCTTAAAATCAGCCTTAAAGTAGTGTGTGCGTGTGTGTGTGTGTGTGTGTGTGTGTGTGTGTGTGTGTGTGTGTGTGTGTGTGTGTGTGTGCGTGTGTGTGTGTGCGTGTGTGTGTGTGCGTGTGTGTGCGTGTGTGTGTGTGTGTGCGCGTGTTTGTGTGTTTGTTTGTTTTATTTTTTGTTTAAAAAAGATTTTAAGCGTGTCAGCTCCAAACAGAATTGCACTAATATTGTTTTCAAATATTTGGAAAGCTGATGCTCAATAGCAGAATAGTTTTTCAGGCTTCTTGCAGTGTATTAACAGTGAAAGTGTGCTTGCTCCTTAATGTTCTGATAAATTAATGGTAATTTTTTTGCATGTTTGTCACATTTTAATGTTTCTGATCCTGAAATAACTTAAAATATTTGTCAAAGATAACCTGAGTGAGCACATCATGCAGTTTCTAAAATAAGGGATTTATTATTAAGGGAAAAAAACAAAGAGTCTCAAGTTAATTTTCTCTAGCCACATCAAGACCTGATTATTCGGTATTATACGATGATTATGCGGATCTATTCCTTGGCAGTTCACAGGTCCTTCACTGAGCCTTTTCCCCTTATCAAAGAAACTTTCCAAAGATGTCTGCTTCTTACTCATTTTGCTGCTTTTGGGTTAAATTTGGGCGCTCAAGTGACCGAGATGTAAGCGAGAGAATACGGTCATTTTTCAAAATAAAAGACTTTTCAAAATAAAAGATCGTTCAGATAATAAATAAAACAGAAATAATTAATGATTTCTTGTGCGGCCAGGTACCAATTGATCCACTGACCAGTAGTTGAGGACCACTGCGCTAGGGGATACAATTAGACAACAGGACCATTCTCCTAATGCTAAGATTTTTATTTTTTTTTAAATATGACGCGACCACCCCACAAAGCTCGCTGAGGCCCCCTGGTGGGCCACGACCCCCCCCCCCCTTTTGATACCGCTGACCTATAGGGTCAAAGCAAAGTAGACCAAAAGAGCCTCAAAAGCTAGACATCATGTCGATATCCAAAGAAATTCAACAACGAATTTGCAAATAAGAAGGAATTACACGGAGATCTATCAGACTGGAAAAGTTGTAAAGCCATTTCTAAAGCTTTGGGATTGCAGTGAACCACAGTGAGAGCCATTACAAATGACGGAAACATGGAACAGTGGAGAACCTTCCCAGGAGTGGCTGTCCGATTAAAATTACCCCAAGAGCACAACAACAACAACAACAACTCATCCAAGAGGTCACCAAAACCCCACAACAACATCCAAGGAACTGCAGGCCTCAGTTGCCTCAGTTAAGGAGAGTGTTCATGACTCCACCATAAGAAAGAGACTGGTTCTGGCAGAGTTCTAAGATGAAATCCACTGCTGTGCAAAAATAACATAAAAACTCTTCTCAGTTTGCCAGAAAACATCTTGATGATCCCCAAGACTGTTTGGAAGCTGTGTCCCATTATATGCAAATTAAAAGTAACAGCAGCAAAATTTGGTGGTGGTGGTGGTAGTGTGATGGTTTGGGGCTGCTTTCAGGACCTGGAAGACTTGCTGTGATAATAGTGCTGTGTACCAAAATATCCCTAAAGAAGAATGTCCAGCGGCCATCTGTTAGCTGAAGTTAGCGGAAGCAAACTTGGGTTCTGCAGCAGGAAATTGATCCAAAACACATCAGCAAGTCCAGTTCTTAATGGCTGAAAAACTTAAATGAAGACTTTGGAATGGCCTAGTCAACGTCCTGAGCTGAATCCGATTCAGATGCTGTGGCATGAACTTTTAACGACTTGAAAACCCAACAATGTGGCCGAATTACAACAGCCTGGAACAGACTCATTACAAGTTAATTTCAGTTGTTGCCGCTAAGGGTGGCCTAACCAGTTATTAGGTTTAAGGGGCGAATACTTTTTCACACAGGGCTATATAGTTTTGTATTTTGTTGTTCTTTGCAATAAATAACTTTGTATTTTATGTCCGTTTATTATTATTTTTTGTTTGTTTATTTGTTTAAACTTTATTTTTATACATTTATTTTCTTCATTTTTAATTTTAAATACAACAAATTTATTAATTTACCTTCGGCTTAGTCCCTTATTTGTCAGGGGTCGCCACAGTGGAATGAACCGCCAACTTATCCAGCATATATTTTACCCAGCGAATGCACTTACAGCCAAAACATGGTATAGGGAAATACCCATATTGTCCATTCTTTTTTTTTTTTTTGGTCACATCAATAACGCATGTTTATTTTCCTCATTTAAAATGTAAAAAATGTTCTCAGATTGATACATTTATGATCCCATAACTCTGTGGCTAGTTGTTTTGAAAAATTATGAAGAGATGTTTTTATATAATATGAACATATACTTCCTCTGTCAATTTATGTTTTGAGGTTTTACTGCAAATGTCACATCCATGACGCTGAAATTGCTCATTTACATTTTTCTCAGACATATCAAGATAAGTGTGCAAAGCTGGGGGTCTGTTCTTCGTACGTGGGCTACTCAGCTAGATTTTTTTATTGGCGATTTGACACGATCCAGGATTGTTTCATTGTTCACAACTGATTTGAGAGTTATTGTCATAACAACAGTTCTGGTAGATCAAACTTGGTCAGGAGCAGGTTTAATTTCTATAAACAGAATTAGATCGGGGCAGTTCAAGCAAAGATAATACTGAATGTATGTGCCGAATTCTGATATTTTCTTACAGTAGTTATATACACTTGAGAAATTAGTAAATATTTAAAAAATAGTATATATTAATAAAACTTATACAATCTGCACCCCCGAAATAAGTGTACAAAGACTGCCACCTAGTGGTGCAAAGAGAAAACTTATTGAAATTAACTTTTTAGATCGCTTTAGTACAATTTGTGCATGATAATAGAAACATTATGTAAGTTTTTATAGAAAATAATACATTTATGCAGTCATAAACATGTTTTGACAGCTAATATGACAGTGATTTGATGCTTCACAAAATTTGCAGACGCCTTTATCAATATCGAAATGCTTTTGTAAACATCCAGTTATTCTTTACACTGATTAAAAAAAAAATACTACTATAATAAGGAAAATCAGCTCTAACTGTAAAACTATATAAATTGCTCTTGACACATGAAAGGGCCAAGGGACAAGATTCAAAGTTATTGCATATCATATTTAACTAATTGTTTACTGCGAATTTGATGTAATTTTGCTCACATGGATAATTATATATTAATCAGATGATGTCATCATTACGTTGCTGTGCCGTCAGCTAATCGTTGCAGTGCTGGGATCCGTTCTTTGTACGTGGATTACTCAGTTAGCTGGATTTGGATATTGACGATTTGACAAGATCCAGGATCGTTTCGTTCTTCAAAGCTGATCCGAGAGTTGTTGTCATGGCAACAGTTCTGCTAGGTCAAACCTGATCGGGAGCAGGTTCAATTCATATAAACAGGATTAGATCGGCTCAGTTCAAGCAAAGATAATACAGAAAGTATGTTCCGAATTCTGATATTTTCTTACAGTAGTAGTTATACACTTGGGAAAATAATACATAATTTTAAAATATATATATAAAGTTATTCATTAATAAAATAAATAAAGTTATACATATTAATAAAACGTATGCAATCTGCACCCTCAAAATGAAAGTACAAAGACTGCCACCTGGTGCAAAGAGAAACCTTATTGAAATAAACTTTTTAGATCGCTTTAGAACAAATTGTGTATAATAGAAATGCACAATATGTGACTTTTTTTTAAAGCAATAATACATTTATGCAGTCATAAACATGTTTTGATAGTTAATATGCCAATGATTTGATGCCTCACAAAAGTTGCAGACACCTTTACCAATATGAAAATGCTTTTGTAAACAACCAGTTATTCTTTATACACCGATTAAAAAACGGCTACTATAATAAAGCAAATCTTTTCTAAATGTAGAACTAAATACATTGATTTGCATTGAAATGCATGATGAATACTCTTGTCTTGACAAATGAAAGTGTAAAGCCTGCAGCTCACAACAAATGTGGAAAGTTCTTGCGTGTCATATTAAACAAACCGTTTACTGCTAATTTGATGTAATTTTGCTCACATGGATAATTGAATATTAATCAGATGATGTCATTACACTGCTGTGCCGTCAGCCAATCGTTGCATTGCTGATCATGATTTCGAGGATCGATAGATCTGTCCTTCACAACACACACAGCGATCTCAGATCAGTTCATCCAGACATTCTAATCTGATTCGCGAACTTGTTTGAAGAACCAAATTAGCGAGAGATCAGTTATCAAGATTAAATGATCCAGGATCTGCCAAATAATCTTAGATCATTTAAGCGAGGTACGAAGAACGGACCCCTGATCATGATTTTGAGGAAGGATAGATCCGTCCTTCACAACACACGCAGCGATCTCAGATCAGTTCATCCAGACATTTTAATCTGATTCACGAACTTGTTTGAAAAACCAAATTAGCCAGAGATCAGTGATCAAGATTAACAGATCCAGGATCTGCCAAATCATCTTAGATCATTTAAGCAAGGTATGGAGAACAGACCCCTGGAGAAAAAAAAAACATCCCCAACAGCACACAAGGGTTAAACAAGCTAAATAAATTAAGTAATCTTAAAACTTGTGTGTGTGTGTGTGTGTGTGTGTGTGTGTGTGTTGTCCAGGTGGCGTGTCCTCATCATGTGTGTGCTGTTTCGCTGCGGTGTCCTGTTTCTGCTGTGTTCTGTGAGCGTCTCCCAGTCTCAGTCTTCATCATACGGAGCGCGGGGTTCAGATCTGGGTCTGCAGGTGTTTATGCAAGTGCTCCAGGATCGAGCGCAGGAGAATGTGCTGCTGTCTCCCCACGGCGTGGCCTCTGTGTTGGGAATGCTGCTCCCAGGGGCCCACGGGGACACACGCAGACAGCTGCTCAATGGACTCAAATACAAGAAGAACGGTAAACAAATACGCTAAATGTTTTTGAGTTGCCTTGACTTCTTTGCTATTGAGAGTAGTACCTATATAATTTCCCTGTGTCCCACTCAGTGACCCATTGATAGAATCATTTCCAAAATTTGCTTAGTGTATCATTCATTCTTTTTTTTCTTCAGCCTAGTCTCAATTTCAGAGATCACCACAGCAGAATGAGCCACCAACTATTCCAGCATATGTTTTACACAGCTGATACCCTTCCAGTTGCAACCTAGTACTGGGAAACACTCATACACACTCATTCACAAACGCACAGTATATTCAATTCCCCTATAGCGCATGTGTTTGGACTGCAGAACACCCGGAGGAAACCAACACCTACACTTGAAGAACATGCACACTCCACACAGAAACGCCAACTGACCCAGCCAGGACTCGAACCAGTCACCTTCTTGCTGTAAAGCGACAGTGCTGAGCACATAGTATTTGTTTTAATCATTTTTCAGAGTGAAGTGATCTTCATTTTAGTAATTTCTGGTGCTTCATTGGAGTGGATGGAGCTAAACATGTAATTGCCCCATTTTGTTTGGGTGCCATTCTCTGGTGGAATTTTCTGTGCAGCATCATGGGCAGTGCAAATTCATATGATTTTTTATTACACACCAGCCATTTTAAGGTAGTCCGCAATGACTAAATGTAAAAATAAACAATAAAATGAGCAGTCGAATATACACTTACTGGCCACTTTATTAGGTACACCTGTCCAACTGCTCGTTAATGCAAATTTCTTATCAGCCAATCACATGGCAGCAACTTAATGCATTTAGGCATGTAGACATGGTCAAGAGGATCTGCTGCAGTTCAAACCGAGCATCAGAATGGGAAAGAAAGGTGATTTAAGTGACTTTGAACGTGGCATGGTTGTTGGTGCCAGATGGGCTGGTCTGAGTATTTCAGAAACTGCTGATCTACTGGGATTTTCATGCACAACCATCTCTAGGGTTTACATAGAATGGCCAGAAAAAAAGAGAAAATATCCAGTGAGCGGCAGATCAGTAAGCGCAAATGCCTTGTTAAGATCAGAGGAAAATGGCCAGACTGGTTCCAGCTGATAGAAAGGCAACAGTAACTCAAATAACCACTTGTTACAAATGAGGTCTGCAGAAGAGCATCTCTGAACACAAAACACGTCCAACCTTGAGGCAGATGGGCTACAGCAGCAGAAGACCACAACAGACTCTACTCCTGTCAGCTAAGAACAGTAAACTGAGGTTACAATTCACACGTGCTCACAAAAGCTGGACAATAGAAGATTGGAGAAACGTTGCCTGGTCTGATGAGTCTCGATTTCTGCTGTGACATTCGAATGGTAGGGAATTGGGCATCAACCACATGAAAGCATGTATCCATCCTGCCTTGCATCAACGGTTCAGGCTGGTGGTGGTGGTGTAATGGTGTGGGGGATATTTTCTTGGCACACTTTGGGCGCATTAGTACCAATTGAGCATCATGTCAATGCCACAGCCTACCTGAGTTTTGTTGCTGACCATCTCCATCCCTTTATGACCACAATGTACCCTTCTGATAGCAGGATAATGCGCCATGTCATAAAGCGCTAATTATCTCAGACTGGTTTCTTAAACATAATCAGTTCACTGGACTCATGGCATCCACAGTCACCAGATCTCAATCCAATAGAGCACCTTTGGGATGTGGTGGAACAAGAGATTCACATCATGATGTGCAGCCGACAAATCTGCTGCAACTGTGTGATGCTGTCATGTCAATATGGAGCAAAATCTCTGAGGAATATTTCCAGTACCTTGTTGAATCTATGCCACGAAGGATTAAAGCAGTTCTGAAGGGAAAAGGGGGTCCAAACTGGTTCTAGTAGTTTCACATCACATTATAGAAAGAGTTATTTATAAACTTTTATAAATTCTTTGTGTTTTTGCTATGACGTAGCCATTAAAGCTGATATGGAAACTTTCTATTGGATATATACTCTGAATGATAACTCGAGAATAAGTCAAAGACCAACATTTATTTTCACATGTTAAACATCAAATTAATATTGTTTTTCTTCTGTCAGGTCCATATAAGATGTTGCGGAAGCTTCATAAGTCTTTGACGACAAAATCTAATGCTGATATTGTGACCATCGCCAACGCACTGTTCCCTAATGAGGGATTCAGCATGAAGGAGGACTTCCTGTCTGCCAACAGAGAGAACTTCCTGTGTGAGAGTCACAGTGTGGACTACAGTGACCCGGAGGCAGCCGCACAGTCCATCAATGACTGGGTGAAGAACAGCACTAAAGGTTCATACACTCACTCATTCACTCACTTGTTCAATAACTCATTCACTCACTTATTTATTCAATAACTTATTTCCTTTTAGTCACTCATTCCCTTACTCAATCATTCGCTCACTTATTCATTCATTCATTATTTCAATAACTCATTTATTCACTCACTCATTCAATAACTCATTCACTCACTTATTTATTCAATAACTTATTATTTCCTTTTAGTCATCCATACACTCACTCAATCATTCGCTCACTCATTCATTCATTCATTCATTCATTATTTCAATAACTCACTCACTCACTCACTCACTCCTTAATTAATTGATTTACTTACTCCCTTAGTCCTTCACTTATTTGTTAATTTATTTCGCTCATTTATTCACTCATTCATTAATTAATTCACTCACTCCCTCATTTCCATATTCATTAATTTATTTAATTCACTCATTCAATCAATCACTCGCCCATTCATTAATTTATTCACTTAACCATTCATTCTCTAACTCGTTCATTAATTCACTCACAAATTAATGGTCATTCACTTATTAATGAAATCAATCATTCATTCAATAAATTAATTTAATCAATCACTCATTTATTCACTCGTTTATTATTCATCCGCTCATTCCCTCATTTTCTCATTCGTTAATTTATTTAATCACTCATTCATTCACCTATTCAATAAATCACTCACCTATTTTTTAATTAATTCACTTAACCATTCATTCATTAACTCGTTCATTAATTCACTCACAAATTCATTCTCATTTACTTATTCATTAAAGCAATAATTCAATCATTAATTCAATCAATTCATTAAATCAATCACTTATTTATTTATTCAATTAATCACTCATTTATTTACTCATTCCTTAATTCATCCACTCACTCCCTCATTTCCTCATTCATTAATTTAATCACTCATTCAATTAATCATTTACTCACCCATTAATTAATTAATTCACTTAACCATTAATTCACTAACTCATTCATTAATTCATCCACTCACTCCATCATTTCCTCATTCATTAATTTATTTAATCACACGTTTATTTACTCGCTTATTCGATCAATCAATCACTCACCCATTCATTAATTCATTCACTAACTCATTCATTAATTCAATCACAAATTCGCTCTCATTCACTTATTCATTAAATCAATCATTCAGTTGTTCATCCAGTCAATTAGTTTAATCAATCACTCATTTATTCAATCATTCATTTACTTATTCATTAATAAATCCACTCACTATCTTATTTCCTCAATTGTTAATTTATTCAATCACTCATTCAATCAATCAACCACTCACCCATTCATTATTTAATTCACTACTTCATTTATAAAATCTCTCACTAATTCATTCTCATTCACTTATTCATTAAATCAGTCACTCATTAATTCATTCACTCACTCATTTACTTACTCATTCAGTAATTGATTCACTCATTCCTGTACTCATTTAATTCATTCTGTCACTCAACTCATCCATTCACTCGTTAAGTCATTTTTTCACTCATTAATTAATTCTATAACTCATCCATTCAATCACTCATTCATTAATTCACTCATTCATTCACTTACTCATTAATTATTCACTCATTTATTAATTCATTCTCTCAACTCATCCACTCAGTCATTTATTCACTTGCTCATTAATTACTTAAATCACTCAATCATTAACTTGCTCATTTAATAATTGATTAACTCACTCCCTCATTCCTGCACACATTTAATTCATTCTGTCACTCAACTCATCTATTCACTATTTCAACAATTTAATCACTCATTCATTAATTCACTCATTCATTCACTTACTCATTAATTAATTCACTTGTTCCCTCACTCAATCGTTAATTCATTCATTCACTCTCTCACTCATCCACTCACTCAGTCATTTATTTACTTGCTCATTAATTACTTAAATCACTCAATCATTAATTTACTCATTCAATAATTGATTCACTCACTCCCTCATTCCTGCACTCATTTAATTCATTCTGTCACTCAACTCATCCATTCACTATTTCAACCATTTAATCACTCATTCATTAATTCACTCATTCATTCACTTACTCGTTAATTAATTCACTCGTTCCCTCACTCATTTGTTATTTCATTCTTTCACTCACTCACTCACTCACTCATCCACTCACTCAGTCATTTATTCACTTGCTCATTAATTCATTCAATCCTTCAACTCATCCATTCACTCATTAAGTCATTTATTTACTCAATTCATTTATTCACTCATTAATTTATTCAATGACTCATCCATTCACTCATTCATCTATTCAATCACTTATTCATTAATTCACTCATTTATTCACTTACACATTAATTAATTCACTCATTTTCTCACTCATTCGTTAATTAATTCATTCTCACTCACTCACTCACTCATCCACTCATTATTTCATTCAATGACTTATTCGTTCAATCACTCATTCATTAATTAACTCATTCATTCACTTACACATTAATTAATTCACTCATTTCCTCACTCATTCGTTAATTAATTCATTCTCTCACTCACCCATCCACTCATTAATTCATTCAATGACTTATCCATTCACTCATTCATCCATTCAATCACTCATTTATTAATTCACTCATTCCCTCACTTATTCGTCAAGTCCTTCACCTACCCCCTCATCCACTCAGTCATTTATTCACTTGCTCATTCATTCATTCATCCATCCACCCATTCTTCACTAATTCAAACAGATGTTTAACATGCAGCAGCAATGTTTAAAGAGACTTATATCTAATTAATGCAGTTGGCAGTTACTGTATACGTTACGAAACTGGGTTTCAGTAATGAAGTGGCAACATGTTTTCACATTATAACGCAGTAATTTATTACAAACTAACAGCGTTCAAACTTTTCTTAACAAATATAAAATTAACAACAATAAAGAACAGCTAAAGTAATGTTGTAAATATTTAATTTCAAATGATATCAAACATTAATAACAGAACAGTTCATATTTATCTGCCTTTTTACATGTTTATCATTGCTAATCTAAAATTGCAGTGACAGCATCTAATGTAATGCGTAGTTTGACCTTCTTTGATTTTTATTTTTATATTTAAAAAAGAAGAACATCTCTATTTTGAGTCCATGCTAATTGTGCCAATGAATGATAATATTGCTATTACCTAAAGATGCACTCTTCTGTTATGCATAAGTTGCTGTGTTTTGTTTGTCAGGCCAGATTCCCAGTGTGGTGACTGCGGATATGTTTGACACGGCTCTGACGCGTCTGGTGGCTGTAAACTCCATCTTCTTTAAAGGCCTCTGGAAGTCCCGTTTCCAGCCTCAAAGCACCAAACCCCGGAGCTTCACAGCCGGAGACGGAAACACATACAAAGTGCCCATGATGTCCCAACTCTCCGTCTTCAACATGGGTGAGATTCAGTTCTTCTCTCGTCTCAGGGTTGCCAGGTTTTCACCACAAAAGCAGTCCAATGGCCAACTAAACTATCCTAATCTCTAAATTCAAAATATGTTATTCCCATAGATAAATATAAATATTTTGCATCACTGAATGCTTTATACGTTTTTCTTTTCAATGATTGTATATGGGTAATGGTTAAAGGTGTAACAGATCACGGTTGATCCGTGATTCGTACGGATCACAACCCACGGTTCGGAACACACGTGACCCGTGGATTAATACATTTTTTAAATTGTAGATTAATCCTAAATTTGTAATGATCGTCGAGAGATCACTTCTCGTGTCATTCAAATCACATATATAAAAGCATTTAGGCTTTACTGTAAAATATAGTGATGACGGAAGAAGTTGTGGTGGGTTATTCTGGATGTGATGGGTTTCATATAAGATGTTTTCTGTCACTACTTGTTTAACCTGCATTATTGCATCGTGTAAGCTGCGTGATTAATCATTAAAAGATCGGGATCTCAACACCCACGCAACATAAATTCTAACCGATGATGATGATTTGCATATGTTTATTAATCCCTTGAATCGCTGCATTCAGATCTGTGTTTGAAAAATGCAAAAATCAAGAAAGAGATTCAGTTTTTAATGTTTTGAGTTTGATATGAAGTTACAAACAGTCAAATAACACAGAAGTACTGAGAGAACAGTTTAGAGTTTAGATAAAACCACTGAGGTTTATGGTAAAGAAAAAATCAGTTATATGCATTTAATTTGATGCTAAAATGAAAGCAGCAATTACATTATGTAACCAATAGGTGGCGACAACCAGCCATCAAAAATATGGCACTGAATTATTCTTCAAAAATGATCATCTAGCAATTAAATATGAAGTTTTATGAGTGAATCACTGAATTATTTATTGAAAATGAGACTAAAAATAAGCATAGATGGGAAGTATCAAAGTACAAATACTTTGTTACTGTACTTAAGTAGATTTTTCTGATATCAGTTCTTTACTCCAGTATTTTTTTGCCGACTTTTTACTTTTACTTCTTACATTTTTACACAAAATGTCTGAGTGAATCACTAAATTGTTTATTCAAAATGAGACTAAAAATAAATATGAATTGTTCAAATTATAATGTTAGATTTCTACATTAAGTGTTATCAACAACAGCCATAGTAACAGTGAATTTTTCACAGCACTGAATATTTTACAATTTATTTTTTATTCATCTGATTATTTCTTGATTTTATCTTTAATAAAATGACGGTTCTCAGTTCTGTTTGGTAAAACCAAAAGTGTCTTGCAGTACTATTTTTGTAATAAATTGTAAGCAAATGACATTTGCCTCCTCTCCTTTTTTTGGTTGATCTGAAAAATGGTCCGATTCATGACAAAAAAAACATAATGTGATCCGAACCATGAGATTTGCAATCCGTTACACCTCTAGTAATGGCAAACATTAATTTTTCATAAATAAAATCATCTTGCTTCCAGATTAAATAACCAAATCCCTTTGCTGATATATATATATACCAGCAAAGGGATTTGGCAAAGGACAACCCCTACCTTAACAATTCAACCCCTTACAGATAAGGGAATACATAAAAAATAATGATATTATAAAAAAATTAAATTAAAATAAGAAAAATAATACAAAAAAAATTAAAGGTACTACCATCACTACTTTTCAGGGAAAAATTTGTACATCAAGTTACATTGTAGTTACCTCATATTACATTGGTGATAGGTTAGTTAACCTCTAAATATGCATTATTAAATATGCTGTAATACTTTTCCACCTCTTCAGAAAAATATCAGTCTTCATTTGTAGACATGCAGTCATTTTTTCCATTACATAGACCTGTTTAAGTCTCTGAATCCACTGAGCCACCTTTGGAGAACCTTCTTCAATCCGTTTTACTGTTATAATTTTTTTGCAAACAGTAATAAAATCCTTAGTACAAATCTTTTTTCTTCATTAAACATTTCTTTGGACAGTGCTCCCAGTAAGCAGTTTGAATATATTTTAAGGCACTGTATCATTAAATGCATTAAAAAAAATTATTAGTAACTTTAAAGATTAAAGTAAACATACTGTTTTAGTAATTATTCAGCAAAGAATCCAGGTAGAGTCCTGCCAACTCTTTCTATGGAAGTGAAACGTATATATTAATAAATTAAACACTTAACCTGCGGAAAACAACCCACAGACACCGCTTACAGGTAGCCCAATTCTGCGGAAAAATCACAGACTTTGCAACCGTCTCATAGTGCAATAAAAAAGAAAACCTCCTGCCACGTGATTCATGCTATTGTCTGATCATGGTAAAGTGTTTTCCAGAGACGGAGATGCTATAAAAACGTGGCTACTTTATACATGTATGGGAATGTTGGAGTGTTTTAACTTTTACGGTTGCTCATAAGCCAGCAGATGGGAATGAAACAGCGCAAAATGTGAATTAATTAAATCCTAATGCAAACGCCAAGAGCGTCTGGCTATCGACTGAAGGATTTAAAACATAAAAATAGCAGTAAACGTCTGCGGTCTTACCAGTTTTGATACAAGAGCTTTATGGGCTGAATAAAGTGTTTTTTAGAGGGCAGTGTTTGTAAAGTTCAGCGGGTAACTGGAGTGTGATTCGTACACGTGTACGTGTGCTTTCTCTGAGGAATATTCATAAATGCAGAATTTAGCTCGATAAGATTCATATTTAGTAGCTGAAAGATGCAGATTGGCTCTTGTAATTATGACTTAGTATGGCATTGGTTTCTTTCCCATATCTGTTCATCTCATAACATGATTTGAAGGCTCCTAACTAATAATGTATAATAATAAATATGCCTTTGCCAGTCTTGATTTGTCCTACCCAATGACTGTAAAAAATATGGACAATGCGACAGCCCCTTTTCCCATTGAACGCCTTGAGGGCAAAACGCCTGCTTGACAGGCACAAACTGTCGCAAAAGACTGCTGAAATTGGAGCCTTGACATGCGCAGAAGGATTGTCTGATGGAGCCAGAGGAGGAGTCGCGAAAATGAGCGGAGTCGAGCTTCCAACCAAACGCTTTATGTAAAATAAACCACGCCCCCCGAACTTCTCAGCATGCGTTTGCTGTCATATCAACACAAATGGATGTATTAACGTTAACAAATATGAGAGTTTTATATATTCAATCGCGCCAGCTCCGGGCCGCAGCGCATAACCTACTCGCGGCGTCGCGGGCTGATTCCGGCTCGCATGTGGCAGCGCCGGCTCGCTCGGCCGCCGCATCTGGCTCGATTGACTCGGGCTAGAATCGGGCAGTGAGTCCAGGCATCCGGAGTAGGTCCAGCAGAGGTAGTCAGTCTGAGCTCTGAGGGGTAAGGCTCCGGCAGGCGAGAATCTAGCCGGAACTGGCCCCAGTGTATTTTGCTAACTGGGTGGTTAGGCGTGTATCAGCAAACTAATAAAGCCCGAAAAAAGCCCTGACCTTAGTGAGTAAACAGTGTTCCACCAAGATCATGTATGTCAGAAACTATAGTTTACTGCTGAACTCATTTTGTCATGGTAAAATAACACAGAAATCGAATAATAACACTTCAGTCTTCTGCCGAAGCTCAGACGCGCTGCTTTGAGAAACTGTCAATCACAGCTGTCAATCACGATGACACGCCCAGCATTAAATTACTGCTAAAAACAAACTGTTTACAAAAATGAAGATCTGCACCTATTTCAGCACAATAACCAGTGCCTTAATCGACCAGAACCATCTTTCGGGACATTTTATTGCAAGTGTAATAATTTTTTTTATTTGGGCTCAAGTCTCCTTCATTAACACGGAGGAGGCGGGCTTTATGACTTGTACTGCAGCCAGCCCCCAGGGGGCGATCTAACGGCCAAGACCTTCACTCAAACACAGGCTTGCGGCACACTTGGTCCTACCATGTCAGATTGTCCTAGCTCCCATTCAAAAAGTAGGTAGCACATTTTGATGACGCAATATGCATCCATCAGATTTTGTTACCAGTGTAATTTTTAATATGGAGTAGTGTGATTTATGAAGCTTTAATATCACCCTAATCCCTGACTCCAACCATTCAAACACTGTTGATAGCATAATCTGATGGGTAGGATAAAATGTCAGGACACTGGTTCCAGGACTCTGCAACCTTTTAATCACAGGTCCACCGCTTTAATCCTGCTGTTTTTTGTTGTTGTTGTGCGTGTGCAGGTCAGGCCAGCACTCCAGATGGACAGAAGTACATCGTGATCGAGCTGCCATATCACGGGAACAGCATGAGTATGTTCATCGCTCTGCCCACAGAAGATTCGACTCCTCTGTCCTCCATCCTGCCGCACATCTCCACCAACACCATCCAGAGCTGGACCAAACTGATGAACCCCAGGAGGATGCGCCTGCTGATGCCAAAGTCAGACATCATGCTGATATTCACTTATCAGGGCTGTTCACACTTGAAATTGTTAACCCTGAGTCATTCTAAACCACGGATAGACATAATCCTGGGTTATCTGTAATCACGTTACACACTGCTCATGCAGTGCATCCGGAAAGTAAAGTATTCATAGCGCTTGACTTTTTCCACATTTTTTTATGTTACAGCCTTATTCCAAAATGGATTAAATTCATTTATTTCGTTACTGAATCGGGCTCAGGCACGGTTCAATTGGCCGGCCCTGGCCCGGTTGGAAAAGATGGGCCTGAGCGTGGTTCACTTGAGCTTTGGCGTGGTACGCTTGTAGTGTGAGTGCAAAACGCACCAAAGCCCGAAACTGAAAGCGAGACGCGACTTTTAAGGGACTATTTTATATGGATTTATTAAGCAATCTTACTGTTCAATGAACGCAAACTGCCGTAGTTTATTAAAGACGCAAACCCCTCACTGCACGACAGCTGCGCGGCTTCAGCAAACCTCCTCATTCCTGCAGCATGAGGGCTTTATGACTGTTTATGAGTGCCAAAAGTGGTGGATCTGTTCGGCGAAATATCTGACTGCGTGTCACCGCATCCCTAAGGACTGTTTGGCGAAATATTTGACTGCATGTCACTGCATAACAAACGACTTAAACAATATAACTAGAGAAATCTCCGCTGTGCTGAGCGAGAGCACTCACTGAACAGCGCAGCATCAATGATGTAAGCGTGCCCAGGCCCGATTGTAGTGTGAGTGCGGGCTATCTGGGGAGACGGGAGGGGGGACAAGCGTGCTTTGGCCCGGTTCGAGGCAACTGTACATAGTGTGAGTACAGCCTAAGTTGAGCTCAGGTACATTCTGTTTCCACTGATCATTCTTGAAATGTTTCAGCAGCTTAGTTAGAGTTCACGTGTGGTAAATTCAGTTGATTGGACATGATTTGAAAAGGCAAACACCTGTCTATATAAGGTCCCATGGTTGACAGTGCATGTCAAAGCACAAACCAAGCATGAAGACAAAGGAATTGTCTGTAGACCTCAGAGACAGGATTGTCTTGAGGCACAAGGCTGGGAAAAGTTATGGAAAAACTTCTGCTGCTCTGAAAGCTCCAATGAGCACAGTGACCTCCATCATCCGAAAGATGTTTGGAAACACCAGGACTCCTAAAAGAGCTTCTAAGCTGAGAGATCAGGGGAGAAAGGCCTTAGTCAGGTAGGTGATCAATAACCCCATGGTCACTCTGTCTGAGCTCCAGCGTTCTTCTGTGGAGAGAGGAGAACCTTAACGAAGAACAACCATCTGTGCAGCAATCCACCAATCAGGCCTGTATGGCAGAGTGGCCAGACAGAAGCCACTCCCCGGTTGGAATTTGCCAAAAGGCATCTGAAGGACTCTCAGACCATAAGAAACAAAATTCTCTGGTCTGATGAGCCTAAATTGAGCTCTTTGGAGTTAATGCCAGGTGTTACATTTGGAGAAAACCAGACACCGCACATTACCAGACTAATAGCATCCCAACAGTGAAGCATGGTGGTGGCAGCATCATGCCGTGGGGATGTTTTTCAGCAGCAGGAACTGGAAGACTAGTCAGGATAAAGGGAAAGATGAATGCAGCAATGTACAGAGAGATCCTGAATGAAGACCTGCTTCAGAGTACTCTTGACCTCAGACTGGTGCGACGGTTCATCTTCCAGCAGGACAATGAGCCAAAGCACACCACCAAAATATCAATGGAGTGGCTTCACAACAACTCCGTGAATGTGCTTGAGTGGCGGAGTCAGAGCCCAGACTAAATCCTATTGAACATCTCTGGAGAGATCTGAAAATGGCTTTACATCATCACTTGCCATCAAACCTGATAGAGCTTGAGAGGTACTGCAAAGAGGAATGGGCGAAAATTCCCAAAGGCAGGTGTGCCAAGCTTGTGGCATCTTATTCAAAAAGACTTGAGGCTGTAATCGTTGCCAAAGGTGCATCAACAAAGTGTTGAGCAAAAGCTGTGAATACTGATGGAATGGGATTTTTCAGCTCTTTTATTTTCAATAAATTTTCAGCAATTTCAAAAACTCTTTATTTTATATCGTCATTATGGGGTATTGTGTGTAGAATTTTGAGGAAATAAATGAATTTAATCCATTTTGGATTAAGGTTGTAACATAAAACATGTGGAAAAAGTGAAGCGCCATGAATACTTACCGGATGCACTGTACATTAGAGATGCGCGGATGGGCTATTATTTCTTCCGCAACCGCATCACAAAACTCATCATCCGTCCGCCATCCATCCGCACTAACATTTTTGACCAAATTTTAAAACCGCACCCGCCCGCCATCTGCTGACTGAGCTCTTTATTTGAATGGCTTATTCCTTTTTATTATTAAATGAATGTTTCTTTATTGATTATTAGAAAATAGAGAATGACTTTAATTTCATGCAGTTAATCCAAACGTGCAAGTCAAATCCAGCATTAATTGACGCTTTGAAGTGACGCTAAAGATACGAGGACGTGTCTTTTCACTTGATTCGATTCCTCGGTCTTTGAGTCTTTTTCTTGCGTCCTTTCCTCGCATCCTATAGGAGTGGAAAGACGAGGAAAGAAAGCAAGGAAAGGAAACGAGGATACACAAATAAGAAATGAGAAGCACCCTATAAAGCTCTCAGAATATCAGCAGTGAACTCCGTCTCCAATTGGCGCACAGGGACAAAAATAAATAAATTGCCTAAATTAAACGCACTGTACTGTACAATTTTTTAAATTATTATTGTAGCCTAATAGAAAACGCATTTTGACACATTTCAACATTCAGACGAGAGCGCCTGGCCTCAATGCGCCCTGCTGCACTGAAGGAGCGCTCGCTCGCAGCACTTGTTGCTGGAATGCATAGAATTCTCTTGGCAAGGTGCTGTAGACGTGGGAATGACTGCCTTGTTTCTCCCAAAAGGAAAGTAGATTTTCCTCTGCTGATCCGTCTATATGGAAGTTTGTAGATGAAGACTTCTGTACTTCATCCAGAATTAGTGTATCCGATTCCTCCTCTCATTCTGTGAAGTTAGGCTTTTTCGTTGGTGCGCCAGCTATGTGTACAAAAACAGTACAACCGCCCACCACCCGCCCGAATTTAATTAAAATATTATTTTTCGTCATGTCATCCGCCTGATCCGCGGTTTATCCGCGGATTCCGCGGCTGTAACCGCCATCCGCGCATCTCTACTGTACATGGGGGTTATTAATACAGTATATATTAAATAAATTACCAATAAAAATTTGTAACTTATTTTATTTCAGCATTTTTCATATTCCAGAAACAATCCAAAAAATAAACAAATAAAATGAACGTGTGCTGACTCTCAGTGTGCTGTATGTACTTCATTGTTCCTCCTTTTTTTTTTGCTCAGATTCACAGTCGAGCAGGAGTTGGATCTGGAGACTCCTCTTAAAGCTTTGGGAATCAAAGACATCTTTGACCAGAACAAAGCGGATTTCAGACACCTGAGTGAGTTACAGCTGTCCATCATACTTGACATCTTCTTCACATACAGTGCTTAACGTAAATAACACCTCCTTTTGAAAATGAATATTTTTATCCATTTCAGTGAATAGTACGGATGCAACTGTTCCCTGTAAAAAAAAAAAAAAAAAAAAAGTACCATCCCGTTGTCCTCCCACTGTTCGGTGTGCCCTATGATTAGTGGTTCTGAATTTGCATTATTAATATTGGTTTGGTGATTAAAATGAACTGCAACAAAGCAAAAAAAAAATCCACCTTTGTACGCTTCCGAAGACCTTTCATGTGTCTGTGACCTGTCCAATCATCTTAATATGTAAATATGTTGTTGGCATCACGTTTCGGTGTACTGTACAGTATGTGTAGTTTCTGAAAGTGCAGCATGGCAAGTGAAGAAGATAAATGCTCATGCAAAAGCACAGGTGAGACCAAAACACAGCAGATTGTAGTCAGTGTTTCACTAGTTGTAAATTTAGACACACAAAAAATAACGAATTTTGTTGTTGTTGCAAAGATAACCTAGATCAGTGGTCTCTAACAGGCTGATTGAGGTACATATCCAGACCCAGAGGTGTCCAAACATACAGCCCAAAGAGGGCGCGCAGGTCTGCTTCAGCAGTCGTGCTCCCGCTGGGTCTTTTTCCGCACTCGATCGTTCAATTATTTTGTTTACCTGCTGTTTGCTCAGAAACGTTTTCCTCTCGACTGACTGTACCCACTGAATTAAGAGAGAAGAGTCCTCTCTCTGGTTAAGGTTCACTTTGATGGTGCTGATAAGTGATAATGGTGTTCTCTGGGATGATTGGTAATAAGCATGCGTTGTAAATAAATATCCCATATTGATCAGGGGTTGCCTCAGCGAAATAGACTACCAACTATCCCAGCATATGTTTTATGCAGCGGATGCCCTTCCAGCTGCAACCCAGTGTTGGGAACCACCCAAAGGAGAATGAATGAATGAGTATTTGGTTAACAAAAAACATCCAGTGTCGACCAAAGCAACGTTTAGGGTTTGAACTGCTTACATGAGCTGCTCTGCAAACTTTTTACCAATGTTTAAACTTTATTTATTTATTTATTTCACAACAAGGGACTGTGCATGTGCCATGAAAATGCCTATCAAATCTGGAATGGCGTTAAACACAAACAACGAAACTGAAATAACATTAGTGTGAGGTGATGAGGATGATTTTGATGTTGGTTGTTGATTGTGAAATTGAGCCGCGTGAATCACGTCTCTCAGTGGAGTGTGAACACGAGTTTACAGAGATGCTTCTCCACAAAGCCGTCATTCACCACTAACTGAATCACAGAGCAGTGAATCATCCCGACTTTTTCACTTTGAACTGCTGCAAAAAGATAAATAAGGCAAAGCCTGAAGTCATAGTTCACCCAGAAATTAACTCTGTCATCATTTACTCGCCCACATGTTGGAATTTGGTTTATATTTATGGCTCACAAATAGAGAGCAGACAAAAAATGCCTCTGGAATACAAAAAAAAGTGGCATTAAAGCTATTTTAGGAGCTTAACAGACTGTGAATAGCAGAAAGTCATGTGAAGATGAATAAATGGTGACCGAATGCTTCTTTCACATGAGTTTAATGACTTTTCTTTTGTGAAATCTTAATTTTTTGGCCTTTAGAACAGCTGGATTAGATCATTTATGCTCCTTTACACCAAGCTTTTATAATAATAATAATAATAATAATACATTTTATTTGTATAGCACTTTTCCAACATACATGCAACTCAAAGTGCCTCAAAAACAACAACAAAAAAGCATTAAAATAGACCACATAAACTTGTCACTTATACTCTGATAAAAGCATTCATGTACACAAAATATAAGCATATATCCACATGATCGCACTCACACAATATTCTTTACATATGCAAGCACACATAAACCTACAACAATATAGATAAAATGTGTACACCTTAAAAGCTTGTGTATTCATACGCAATTTTAAAAAGATTAACACGCTTTTAAAAACATGAATACTAGGGGATTCTTCACTTCAAGAGGGAGACAGTTCCAAATTTTTGGAGCATAATGGCTAAAAGAAGTGCCGCCAGATCGCATCAGGTTTACAGAGTAAAATTCTAAAAGTCCAGCGCTAGAAGAGCTTAGCAAACGGTTTGGATTATATTTTGATAAACAGTCGGAAATGTTGGAAGGTGTCATGTTGTGAAGTGCTTTATAAACCAATAAAAGAATCTTAAAATCTATTCTTTGGTGCACAGGTAACCAGTGGAATTATATTAATACGGGTGTGATGTGCTCTCTTTTCTTCAATTTCATTAAAACTCTAAATTAAAACTCTTTATAGGAGAAATGTCAAACTGTCTCATAATTTTGAGATAAAAAGTCTAAATTGTGGCCTAAGTACACACCGCACGTCCATTAGAAACAGCAAACTTGTGCAAACTCTAGAAATACACGATATGCGAACGGCCTCTAAAAAGCCTCCTACATTTGCGATCTCCATCAGTTGATCTTCCTGCACAGCCATGGTGGATTTACCTGATTTGTTGACAAGTGGGTTCCGGATCTTTTCTTTGGCAGTTTGTGGGTCCTTCACTGGGCCTTTTCCCCTTAGCAAAGAAACTTTCTAAAGATGTCTGCTCAGGGGCCCCGCTAGGACGATTCTAAGGGCCCATACATTTAGGGGGGCCCCAGAGAAATTATCAAGGGCCCGCGCCAATCACAGCCCTCTATACCCCCCCCCCCCCCTTTTACTTTTATCCACGATCCCACCCACCACCCGCAAGTCATAATATTGAGATAAAAAAATAAACATTTCAGGCCTAAAAAATAAATATTTGGTGTATTAAGAATATTATGAAGATATTTGTCTTACAAAAATGTAGATATGTCACAATTTTCATGTTTTGTCTTATAAGTTGATGTTTTATACTTTAGACCTTTTTTGTCATAACTTCTAGACTTGAGGCTTAAAACTAAATGATGGCAAATTAACCTAATATGACAAAATAAAAGAAGACAAAACAGGTTCCAAATCGATTTTAAAAAGGCATAATATCTCATAGTATTGAGATAAAAAGTAAAAATTTCTGGCCTAAATAATAAACACTTGGTATAATAGGAATATTATGAAGATATTTGTCTTGCAAAAATGTAGTTATGTCATAAGTTTGATGTTTTGTCTTCTAATTATGAGCTGGTGCCTCATAGTTTAGACCTTTTTGGTCATTTTTTAAATCTCATCAATAAGACTTAAGACGTATTTATTAAAATTATGACAAATTTATATTAATAATGGACTAAATAAAATGACAGGAGACAAAACAGGTTCCAAATAAACTTAAAAAGTGTTATTAAAACCATTTTTGGAGCTCAACAGTCATGTTCAGTGTCTCAGTTTCATCTTTTATGTAAATATTAAAACTTTTTGTCATAATTGAAGATTTCTATGCTCTAATTATGGCTTTTGCATCAAAACAGTGACTTAATGACTTAACAAATGTCTTAATATTAATCTTAATGTCTCATAATTTCAATTTTAGTATCTCAACTTTGCATATTCCTGCAGTTATGTCATGTCAAATATAAATGCCATATTTCTTTAATATTATTAAATAATTATCACCACTAACTTTTAATTTATCACATAATTTTGAAACACATAGTTTCAACATTTTATATCAAAATTATGATCTATTTAAACGTTTTAAATGACTTTACTCAGTATAAATATCAGAAAAGCACATAAAGGATCATCTGTAGATGGAAAGGAGAAAATCAAATACAAACTCATACCAAAGTATAAAGATTGCTATGAGAGTTTGAAGAAGGAAGAAAGATGTTTTGTAAGCAGCGGAGGCCAAAAGTTTCACAGAGTTTCACAAACCGGATGTGCAGTGGTTAACTGTGGTCTGAAGTGTTGATCTAATGCCCCCGTGTGGCGAATAATGGAGTTACACCACTTCCTTTACAGGGATAATTCACCTAAACATGAGAATTCTGTCATTTCCTCATCCTCCATGTGTCCAAAACCTGTTTGAGTTTCTTTCTTCCGTTGAACACAAAGGAAGATAATACTGAAAAATGCTTCAAAAAACACCCACTGACCCTAATTGTAGGAACACAAAGCAATATACACTATAGGTATTTTGGGTTTTGTTCCTACAATGGATGTCAATGGGTGTTTTTTCTAACATGGCATGTCTTCTTTTTGAACAGACAAGATAAAATCACAATATTTAGTTCGAGTAAATGAGAAAACTGTATTTTTTGTTTGTTTCTGTTAAAGCTTAAAGGGTTCAAGACTCACTGGAGTACTTTTCTTGAGATTTTAACAGATTTGTGTGTTGAGCATCAGTTAAGACAATGCTAACACCAGTTTTTTTTTTTTTTTTTTAATAATTATATTTATTGGATTTTCACTATAATACAGACATAACAACAATTCTTCAAAAGATACTCACACAACAACAACAAAAATAATGACAACAAAGAACAATGTAAAAGGAAAAAAAAAGGCTCAGATTACCTATAAAACAGCACTACCCCACATGAAACAGATCGGAAAAAAGGGATAATAATAACATTGTATGTTTTTCAGAAAACAATAGTTACAATATTCCTTTCAGCATGATAGGGCAAAGACTAGGTTCCAAATAGTCCAAGTATGGAGTCCAAACTTTGAAAAAATGTTCTGTTTTTTTGTGTAAAACATGGGTAAGATGTTCCAGAGGAATCAACTTAAAAATTATCTTGTGCCAACCTTTAAGTGATGAAGATTTATCACTAATCCAATTAAGCAAAATATTTTTTTCTGGCAGCAAAAGTCAGTATATTATACAATTTCTTATTAGCCGATGAAAGAATGCGTCCATTAGGTATACCCAAAATCAACGAAACTGGGTCTAAATCCAATGGCATGTTAAAGATCTTTTCCATTTCCCCCAGCACCAAGGACCAGAATCTTTGTAGCTTGTTACATGACCACATACAATGTGTTAAAGTACCTACATCAATTTTACATTTTAAACACATAGGTGAATTAGAAGGATTAAATAGATGTCTGCGGTTAGGGGAGATATAAAGTCTGTGTATTATTTTATATTGTATTTCCTTTGTATGTGTACAAACAGATATTTTCTTAGCATTAGACCAAATATCATCCCATGTTTCCTCATCAATATTAGTAACCAACTCCTTCTCCCATTTGGTTTTAATCAAGTGTGCCGCAAGCCTGCGTTTGAGTGAAGGTCTCGGCCGTTAGATCGCCCCCTGGGGGCTGGCTGCAGTACAAGTCATAAAGCCCGCCTCCTCCGTGTTAATGAAGGTGACTTGAGCCCAAATAAAAAAATTAATTACACTTGCTATAAAATGTCCCGAAAGATGGTTCTGGTCGATTAAGGCACTGATTATTGTGCTGAAATAGGTGCAGATCTTCATTTTTGTAAACAGTTTGTTTTTAGCAGTAATTTAATGCTGGGCGTGTCATCGTGATTGACAGCTGTGATTGACAGTTTCTCAAAGCAGCGCGTCTGAGCTTCGGCAGAAGACTGAAGTGTTATTATTCGATTTCTGTGTTATTTTACCATGACAAAATGAGTTCAGCAGTAAACTATAGTTTCTGACATACATGATCCTGGTGGAACACTGTTTACTCACTAAGGTCAGGGCTTTTTTCGGGCTTTATTAGTTTGCTGATACACGCCTAACCACCCAGTTAGCAAAATACACTGGGGCCAGTTCTGGCTAGATTCTCGCCTGCCGGAGACTTACCCCTCAGAGCTCAGACTGACTACCTCTGCTGGACCTACTCCGGATGCCTGGACTCACTGCCCGATTCTAGCCCGAGTCAATCGAGCCAGATGCGGCGGCCGAGCGAGCCGGCGCTGCCGCATGCAAGCCGGAATCAGCCCGCGACGCCGCGAGTAGGTTATGTGCGCTGCGGCCCGGAGCTGGCGCGATTAAATATATAAAACCTTCATATTTGTTAACGTTATTACATCCATTTGTGTTGATATGACAGCAAACGCATGCTGAGAAGTTCAGGGGGCGTGGTTGATTTTACATAAAGCGTTTGGTTGGAAGCTCGACTCCACTCATTTTCACGGCTCCTCCTCTGGCTCCATCAGACAGTCCTTCTGAGCATGTCAAGGCTCCAATTTCAGCAGTCTTTTGCGACAGTTTGTGCCCGTCAAGCAGGCGTTTTGCCCTCAAGGCGTTCAATGGGAAAAGGGGCTGTCGCGTCGTCCATATTTTTTACAGTCATTGGTTTTAATTCTCTGTATGTCAGGGGATGGGATTGAGCATACAGACGCATAAAATCGACCCACAGAAATCTTTCCAGATGATAAAAATAATAACCTCTCAATAGAAGATATCTCACAATTTTTAACAAGTGTTGTGCTGTTAGTGATGTAATGTCTCAATTGAAGAAAACGAAAAAAATCATTTTTGACTTACTGGTATTTCTGAGCTAATTCTGTGAACGACATTAGTTTGTTGTCTGAGAACATGTCCCCAAGCCCTACAATTCCCGAATTACAACAGCGTTTAAAACCTAACACCAGTTTTAATTGTGGGGAAAACTGGATCATTTTGAGCTTTTGACAGCTAATTTCATCTTTTGGGTTAATAATAATTTTTGACTTAGCACAAATCTGCTAGTGGAGTGATGACGCTTCGCTTTCTCATTATTATTATACATAGCAGAGTTTTCTTATCCTATGAGAAGAGCCGGCTTCTTAATTATTTATGAGAGCATGTGCTTTCCGAAGGCAAGGCAGACCTGCCAAGCTGGTAGACCCAATGACTGGGTGAGACCACGTCTGCGTACGGCAAGCAGTATTTAGCCATTCATGAAGGGTCATAACATCATGTTTTTGTTTCCATGATCTACGCGGTTTGTTGCAGGTTTTTCCCTACAATTCTGTCAGGGTCGATACAGCAAAGCTGTTGGTTTGCAGCAAGCAGATTTGTCGAGAGAGCTGTCCAAGAATTGGAGAATGGTGGACTTTTTCTTTTATCAGTTGAGTTCCTTACCGTTCAGACACATCATCGATATCCGTGTGATCGCTTATGTTTAAAATCCTCCAGATTACCGACAGGGTTAATGGTTGAAATAGACAGGGCAAGAGACCTGCTGCACTGCTATCCACTGTGTCTGCATTCAGATCCGGGGATTCAGGAGGAGTGTATATGTGTATATAAATTACAAATAACAAATGTAGCAGGGTATTAAATCACTGTTTATTTCTTTGCATTTTTACTTTGTAAACTATAAAAGTATGGGTCTCCTCACGGTTTGGGTCTCATTTTGTGAACTAACTGACAACAGTTGTTTACTTCCCTTTTTTCCCTGCTCTGCCGGCCACGCCCACTCCTCCCTCTGCTCGCAGATCTCCAAGCCTTTTGACCCTTTAAATGTGCTGTATGTACATTAAATGTGACTCCTCTGAAGCATAAAAATGCCATAATATGTTTGCAGATAATTAAGAAACATGCTAAGTGAACATTCTTGTTTATTTGAAAAACAATGCTGAAGTCAGATATTCGGCTTTGAAAATGTGCTGTCCGTGCCGGAACGGCTGTCTTTGTTTTGGTCATTTAATCCCGCCCAATGACAGTTTAGCCAATTATATTTCAGCACCCCAGGTTGACTTGTTGGAAAACAGTGTATTTGATTAATTCATTCAGGAAGGCTCTCAAAGCATGCATCCATAACTGAAATGCGACCCTTGAGTGGACAGTAGCAGACTCCGAAATGAGACGCAGATTCAGAGTTACAAATGAGGTTTTTTATTATTAGCAAAAAATATCAATACTACAAACGTGAACACATTAGGTGAGCAGGGTAACCCTGTGTCCTAACAACATGATATGTGAGGAGATTTGCAGTAATAGGCAATTTGGCTGTTTGCACCAGACGAAACGCGACAGAAATTTAAATAAAGCCATTCAGAAGCACAGAATAGTGCACTCACTGCACTTCAATAAAATGGTAAGGTTTATAATCTAATTATTAGATATTAAACCTCTTTAACAGTATCAAATGTACATGCTAAATCACTGATATGTTGGTGTCATCAATCTGGCAACCTGCACTTGCATGTGTTTTGAACCAGGCGTGCAATACCTAGTTCAACCACTAGGTGACAAACTTGCATACTGCACCTTTAAATGAAATTCGCTTGGCGTATTGAAGTTTTGTGCTCTTAACCTTTGGCATTTGTGTGTGAAACAGGTTCAGAGTCCATCTACGTGTCCAAAGCCCTTCAGAAAGCCAAGATAGAGGTCAATGAGGACGGAACCAAAGCCTCCGCCACCACATGTGAGTTCCTGTGTCACATAGTAAAATAATGACATTTTTTTAATGTGGTTAACAAGACAGTGCATTACATGGGAGAATTGTAATCTAGACAGTTTAAAAGTTCTGTGAAGTGCTTTGAAATGTGCAGATGTTTTATTCGATGTAAGTCATGACGTATCGTTGAGGTATTTAAAACTATTTACAGGTCTATTTCCGTACTCATTTGAATTGAGAAACTTTTTAGTCCTATCACACGTATTAGGCATGGATATATGTATTGCGATCGTGATTTTCTAAAATATTACATCCCTTTATAAACGTTTATTATTGCCAGTAATTGAGCCGCTTCAGGTGACGTCACACTTAACAAGCAGATAATCTCAACTGAAACATGAAGACAGGGTGGGACTTATAGTAGCTCCTCCCCCATTTAAAAAAAAAAACAATAGCGTTTTTTTTATCACAGCTTTGACGGTAAGAGTGGTTAAGCTCAAGCGAATCAAATGAAAAGAACGTATTGAAGGGGGCAGGGCATGTTAGATACTCGAGAGCATTTGATTGGTCAGAAATTAATGAGAAACTGAAGTATGAGGTGATGATAATTAAACTGTTGATCCATTTAGACGGAAGTGATGTTTATATCTTCTAAATGCTAATGTTGTCACTGCTTTGAAGCACACTTGATATCCTTAAGACTATCATAATGAATCTAACACCTATTAAACTTATTATAATTTCATGGTACCATTAATTATGACCACAAAACATAACAGATTTATTCCAGATCAACACTCAAATGTTTATACAGTCTCTGCATTACGATTATAAACTAAGTCTGATGTGCTTTTAACTCAAACATTCTGATTGGCAGAGCTGTGATGTAAACAGAACACTATTGGCTGTTTTTGAAAAGGGGGAGGAGCTACTCTCTATATATTCCACCCTAGCTTCATGTTTTAATAGAAATGTGCTTCATGCACAGCATGTGTTTTTCAGCCACCGATAAACTTCTGCTGAACAGTTGAGCAACATGAGGTCATAAGGTTCATTTAACAGCATCGTTCAAGTATTTTAATTTAAATACAGTCAGTTAAATCGATTTTAGCATTCATTTAGTTGTTCAAGCAATAATACGTGATGAAAGACCGTTTAAACCAAAGCACCACTAGGAGCAGACGGCAAGCACAGAAAACCCATAGGAAGTACTGTGGTAAACCACATTTCCATTTTTTAAGGCTGCTTTCACACCTGTGAATCGATTCAGTTGTTCCGAAACAGAGATTACAAATGTTACATTGTTGCTCTTTGCTCTTGGAGCGGTTCGCTTTCACACTGCAAAGTTTCTAATCGGACCAAAAGAGCTAAAACAAGTCACGTGCGAGTAAACTCTCCTCACATTGGTCAGAGTGTCAGGGTTTATTTTGCAGCGTCCCGCTAAGCTGTCAGGAGAAGTGGTGGTTTGGTGGTGATTGACAGGGTGCGCGTGCGCGATGTGTCTGAGGAGAGATGCGGTGGGGAGGGGTGAGAAGGGTGCGCGACGATGCCTATTTGAGGACTGGGAGGGAGACGCGAGATTACCGGGAGATTATCAGTCGTTTGCGGGCATCCGGAGACTCGTGAAACTTCCCGCCATACTCATAATTCTCTCTTCATATAGTCGCTTTCTCACTGCAATCGATCCGCTCCAGGGTTCGTTTCAATCGAGCCGAGACCACCTCATTCAGGTCTCGGAGCGATTATTTGACGCAGAACAGAGCGCGATTGCCCTGTTCCCATATGCCAAACGAACCGCGCTAACTGGGCAAACGAGACAGGTTCCGAAACAAAAGTGTAGGTGTGAAAGCACCCTAAGACATGATGTGGAACAATGGAATTTAATGCTATGCTTCTTGTCCGGTCTGAGACCCACTTTATATCGTATATCAATCAGGCAGTGAAGATCATTGATTTTTCAAGAAATCCGATCTTAAACGTGGTGAGTTTATAATGGCATGACTAGGGATGGGTACCGAAACTCTGTACCGTATTGGTGCTACATTATAAAAGACAGAAGTATCGATAAGCTCTGGCGTTAATGGTACTGGAGAACTACTGCTGAATAAACATTACTTACAGTATCATAATTTAACTGACCAACCTTTTCCAATGTGCCATATTTAATATTCGTCTCCACAGTTGCAATCTCGTGACAAATGCTTGTGTTTCTGGCGAAAGCCTCAAGTATAAAAGCCTTCAATGTTCTCGGCTGTGTGCGCGCACTCAGCGGAGACTTGCACTAAGCGCACACACATAGCTGATAAGCTTGCGGAGTGGTGGAGTGAGCCAAACAAGTTGTATTTCCCAAGTGGACAGCGAGAATGCCCGTTGCAAAAAACGCAAGCGGAAACGCAAGCAATCTGGCTAAGTGAAAGTATCTTTCAAAAGTGCAATAACTGCAACGCAAAGTTTTGGCTGCCTAGCTACTAACCGTAACGTTACACCTTCCACATTGTTATGTCAGCAGTCAATGACCTAAATTAGTATATTAATAGTTAAATAAACACACACACATTCGGTTACAATGAAAACAGTATTTTTTCTGCAGTAGCCTAAATAAATCTTAAACATTAAAATGCTTTTAAATCAGCTGTATTTACTAATATAGCCTATGAATAGCCTAATAATAAACTATGCTTAAGAAATTATAAAAAACAGTTTGTTTCTACATTGCAAGATGGTCAAAAACTGTATTGAAAACACAGTTTACTTCCAACTCATCTATGAGAATGCGTTAATGAAAAATCATAAACATTCCGTCATTTAACTGCATTTAACTGCAACTAAAAGAGGGTATTTTTCAACTGCAGAAAGCACAATAAACAAAGAAAGATCCAGACTTCTGCCAGAAAAGTCAAACATGTAGATTTTTCTCCAGAAAAAGGTTAAAAACAGAGTCACTTTTCTTTAAACCGTTGTACATTCTTTTACAGGAAAATGTTTTACAATTATTGTTTTTTCTTTATTTTACGGTAAAAACATAATAATAAAATAAAGTTGTTATTTCTGTTCACTTTGTTTTTTTTCATAAAAAAAAAAAAACTACAAAAAGTATGGATAAGAGAACCATTAAAGTACTGAACTGATAAGTGGTATCGATAAAAGTAGTAATAGCGTTAAAACCTCAACGATGCCCATCCCTTGGCATGAATGTTACCAGATAGTGACAGAGCAGGCTTATTCCAAATTAAAAGTCTCCATGCATATATCACATTTTCACATGTTAAGCAAAGCTGCACATTTCAGGGTACTTTAAGGAGAATTTTAACGTCAGCAGCTCTTAATATGTGTGTGTGTTTTCAGCTGTAATCCTGCATGCTCGATCCTCTCCGCCATGGGTGACTGTGGACAGACCGTTCCTGTTTCTCATCAGGCACAATTCTTCAGGTACACACACACACACACACACATACACACACACATTAGTGATGCGCAGGTTGTTGTTTTTTTCCAACCAGTGGGTCCCACTTTTATTTAATTATTTGACCTGGTGCGGGTAAAGAATTGTCCCTTTATTTGCGGGGTGAGTCAAAAGTTCATGTATGTTGTGTGCGAATCTCTAAAGTCTATATTAATATTTGGGAATATCTATTTTTATATTTTCATTTCATAAGTTCTTTGATAGTTTTTGATTACAATACTTTCATGCAGATGGTGAGTTTGGCCCTTTTGGCTTTCCATAGTGTTTTCTTCAGTCTAATTCAGTGTAATTCAGTCTTTATATGCACGTGACATACAGTCCAAGTCCAAATGATTCGCCATATTGTTCTTTTTTTTTTTTTCTTTGTCAAATATTTCCCAAATGATGTTTAAGAGCAAGGAAATTTTCACAGTATGTCTGATAATATTTTTGTCTTCTGGAGAAAGTCTTATTTGTTTTATTTCGGCTAGAATAAAAGCAGTTTTTAATTTTTTAAAACCATTTTAAGGTCAATATTATTAGCCCTTTTAAAAGGCAGTCTCATTTTCACACCTTTACTTTGAAAAAAATCAGGAAAGTGATTAAGTCCAGCTCTGTTTAGATGGGAGTGTGGAAAGAGGGAAGGGTTTGCATGAAAAGGGGAGTTTCTGTATGAGCACAAGCTGATTTTCACAGAGCCAACACAAATACAGACGCAGAGGAGAAAGACAGTGACTGTTTACATGGACATCAGTAATCAAATTATTTGCCAAATCATTAATTTGTCGACTTTGACTGCAGTTTGGCACTTTCATTCAGAAACATTTCATGCACGCCCCCCGCTACAAACGAGATATTAGACACGAGGAACTTCTGGATGATTATAGTTTTAATGGACGGTTTGAGCTGTGTGTATATAGACTATCCTGTCACAAAATGAAGCAAAAATCCTACACAAAGATAATAGTTTGATTGCGGTATTTACATGTTTCCATTTGGAGAGCAGCATTTACATCAGATCTTTCATTTCATATTATTGCCTTGATTTTAACATACTGTAAACTCAGTACAGGACGTTAAACATAAACATAACCAAACACCAGTGATCGCTCACTTACCAAATCTGTAGAGACAGGACAATTAACACTAACTGGAGCTGCGTCTTTTTTTAAAAGGAGATACGGAAATACGGATTTCACCATTTTCAGTTGCTAAAAGCTCTCGGGTAAAAAATGTTCCTCACAAACGTATTTTTGTCGCGTGTTAGCAGACCACTGTAATCCACACGTGAGTCCAGCTCCGCAGTCATATCAGGGAAATGGGAACAAAAACCTTTGTTGCAGCACAATTATAAACCCAACACTGACGACCCGTGTCTCTAAACAATTCGTCTTCCACTTGTTTTCACAACAAAACGTGGCGTCTCTCTGCCGTCTGTAACAGGTCTTCAAAGCTATCATGCATAATAATGAAGTTGTACCTCATACACAATAAAGCGAGCTGATTGGTTTGAACCAAGTCTTTCTCTTGAATTAATGATGATGCAGTGGCGCAGTAGGTAGTGCTGTCGCCTTACAGCAAGAAAGTCGCTGGGTCGTGGGTTCGAGCCTCACCTCAGTTGGCGTTTCTGTGTGGAGTTTGCAAGTTCTCCCTGCGTTCGTGTGGGTTTCCTCTGGGTGCTCCGGTTTCCCCCACAGTCCAAAGACATGCGGTACAGGTGAATTGGGTAGGCTAAATTGTCCGTAGTGTATGAGTGTGTGGATGCTTCCCATAGATGTGTTGCAGCTGGAAGGCCATCCGCTGCATAAAAATGTGCTGGATAAGTTGGCGGTTCATTCCGCTGTGGCGACCCTGAATTAATAAAGGGACTAAGCCAACTAGAAAATGAATGAATGAATGAATACAAAGACGCTACATTGTACCCGCCGGTACAGACAGCCAGTCTACACCCTGGAATACAGGCAATGATCTAATCTGCGTGACGCAGCTTCAAAATTTTGAACGAATTTGCTCGAAATAACGCAAAAACAACCTATTTTCACTTTTAGTGCAATATATGTGTCGTGTCCTAATAGTGTTTAGCAGCGTGAGGCACATACAGTCAGAATTATTAGCCCCCTTCAAATTTTTTTCTTCTTTTTTTAATATTTCCCAAATGATGTTTATCAGAGCAAGGAAATTTTCACAGTATGTCTGATAATATTTTTTATTCTGGAAAAAGTCGTATTTGTTTTATTTCAGCTAGAATAAAAGCAGTTTTATTTTTTTTAAACACCATTTTAGGGACAAAATTATTAGCCCCTTTAAGCTGTATTTTTTTCTCGATAGTCTACAGAACAACCCATTGTTATACAATAACTTGCCTAATTACCCTAACCTGCCTAGTTAACCTAATTAACCTAGTTAAACCTTTAAATGTCACTTTAAGTTGTATAGAAGTGTCTTGAAAAATATCTCGTCAAATATTATTTACTGTCATCATGGGAAAGAGAAAATAAATCCATTATTAGAGATGAGTTATTAAAACTGTTATGTTTAGAAATGTGTTGAAAAAAATCTGCTCTCTGTTAAACAGAAATTGAGGGAAAAATAAACAAGCGGTCTAATAATTCAGGGGGGCTAAGAATTCTGACTTCAACTGTATATGACTGTCAACATCTCAAAACGTGTTTTGGTGTTTCGTGACCCTATAAGTAATATATTTGTTATTGTTTACAGAACAAACCACTGTTATACAATGACTTTTCTAATTATCC